CACACCTGCGTAGGATATCGCACCCATTCACAACAACACCCATGGGCCGGGACCAACGGCTTTACTTCCCTTCCGAAGGAAGACGTGACCAGAGATGCCTCAGAAAAATCCCACCGACCTCGGCTGGGATTGAACCCAGACCCATCGGGGTGTTGGAAAGCAGTCACGTTTACCACTACACCACCGGCGCCGGCTTCGAATGAAAATCGGCCATCCCCCATAAAAAATTTGACAGATGGGGAATTTCCCTGTAGACCGACGAAATCGGTTGTATACAAAAAAAGCCTATTAATAAACCGACAACGTCGGGATTAGTACACTAGTTATTTTTGTCAACATATTCGTTAGTGTATTTAATCGGATTCCGCCGGGACCGTCGGCCATAGATTTTATCTAGTGTAAAATCTGGAAATTGTATGTTTTTTGATCGGTGATTATTTTATTGTACGTATTAATATACAGACGAAGTCGGTTTACGTAGTGATTATAAAATAGTGACAGTGAGACTAAGTGAGTGCAGCTTTATTATCAAATTTCATTACAACCTGGTAAGTTTTTTTTTTATTAATATTTTTGTTTTTTAGGAAAGCATACAATGGCAAGCAGGTGGAGTACTTGGCGTAGTAAAAAAAAAAGCTGCTAAACACAAAGAATACAACAAGTTATATCGCCAATACCTGGAAGAATCAGATATGAAAAGTGATTCCGATGATGATCTGCAGCCCTCAATGGAGCATGAACAATGAAGCATGAACGACGGAATTGAAAGCAGTTTTGAAGGAAATGGAGAGCCCTTGATTGAGACACTGCAAAAGGATGGAATACATCATAATGTGAAGCCCACCTATTTCCATCCACCAACTACAGGTCTTATAAGTGAAGCTGGTCCTGGTCTTATAAGTGAAAGAACCCACTGACTTACAGATTTGCTGAATTTTGGATCTGTACAAGATATAAGACGCCCACTCGTATCCACATATAAGACCAGAAAATGGATGCAAATATCTAATAAGTGAATGCAGGAGGGGGGGGGGGAGGGGGCGGTCTTCCTTGCATTGGAACAATTCTCGGTGCATTTGTTGTTGCTTTTGTTAGCCAATACAACCTTTTACGATACTGTATTGAAAAATGTTCAGGAAAATGCAAGGAAAAAATATTAAAATTACAAAAAATTACAACTTATCCCAAAGGTAAAATCAATGAAGAAAATCTGTTCATTGTCCTTCAAGGTCCTCATGATTCTGAGTGCTAGAATATGTTTTAATTTATATACAAACTATCAAAGCCACAATGTACTAAAGCAGTGTTTTTTCTGTTTCTCCTAGCAGCAGTGACACCACAGACAAACAGACATAACACATTGTATATTTCTCACTGTAAAACATCGTCGCTAAAACATTACCGCCATCTGTTGAGTACACTGTGGTGGATAGTACGCTGAACAGATGGCGGTAGTGTGTAAACGTCAAACGCAAAGGAATTGACTATGAGCGCCACAGGTGGCGGTACTACCAACTACGATACTTTTAGATTGACCGTTAAATGCATGTTCGATGAACAACTTGCGAGTGTTATCTCTCTTTGTCTGTGGTGACACCGTGCATGAAAAAGAGCGAGACGATTAATTCGAGGCAGAAAACTTTAACGATCTCAAATCTAACGTTCCACTGAAATATCGGCTTGCATATTTCGTGTCACGTTACCACCAGAGTGTTGAAGCTACCAAAACATTAATAGAAATACTTCGTGATGAAGGTCATTGTTTATTCGAAGGAAGAGAGCTGCGCACGAACTAACGAATCTTTTCGTCAGCGAGTGGATCCTGAACATCACCGTGTCCAGTCCGTTTACGGAGTTGAGTGCATCAATGGATTGGATATGATTCTACAACTAGGAGTAGATCCTATGCACGCTTGTCACTTTGGTGTAACAAAAAAGATACTTGAAAGCATGTTCGGGAAGTTGAAAAAAGCCGGATACAAAGGAGGAGATTGCGTAAAACTGATCGAATTAAAGCAGGTTTGTTCTGCTGGATTTAATTAAGATGAAATATTTGTCTAATTTTTCACTTTTTTCTTTAAAGGTTTATTTTACTTTGAATTAGGGAAGTTCATTCCAAAGGAATTTGCAAGGCGTCCAAAACCATTCGAAGAATTGTCTAACTTTAAAGCAACCGAATTTCGTTTGTTTGATTCTTACATTGGTTTGCATGTCACCGTGAAGTTCTTTGAAAAAGAACAACACGAGCATTTCATGTTGTACTATTCTGCTCTTTGTCTGCTTTCTATGAGAAATCCATCAAACAATGACATAGAGTTAGCAAGACAATTTCTTAGAGATTTTGTTCATATGTTTCATAGATTCTATGGTGCAACTGGTCTTACGCACAACGTGCATATGTTATTGCATTTAGCAGACTATGTTGAATTGTATGGAAATCTGCCCTCAATCAGCGCATTCAGGTATGAAAACTTTATGCAAGAGATGAAAAGAACTTTAACTAAAAAGCATCAACTTCTGCAGCAACTTTATAATCGAACAGTTGAACAAACAAAAATCGCTGAAAAGCCTGGTTATCAAAACCAATTTGCAGAAAAATTTCAAATGAAAAAGCGTTTATATGGCTGTTCATTTGCATACCGCACCTGCTATTTTAATAATAGGTTGCATATGGTTGAAAATGTAGATGCTTCTCCATCGGATTCAGCGGTTCAGGGTTCGGAGGAATCTGATGATGACATCGAGGAAGACGTTGAATCCCCTGCCTATACTCCGCTGAAATAGTCGTAAAATGTTGTCGGTTTTTCTCTCTATAAATTAATAAATAAACCTTTCAAAACCAAATGTGTATAATGTTTATTTGTTGAATTGAATTTCCTCTTCTGTACCATCTAGTATACGCTCACTTGATATCAATAATGTTGTCTGCCAATGCATTATTCAATTTTATCTGTCGATTTAGTATGTTTTATTAGAAGAAACAATTTAATTACCCAATTAATTAGTGTACTTCATCTGGTTTCATCAATTTCATAAGCCGATTTAACAGTCGACTTAATCTTTTCCATCGTACAAACAACTGAATGAACCGATTAACCACTCTATTTCGTTTGGTTTCATCAATTGCGTATGCTGATTTATTTGTCGACTTAATCTGTTTTCATCGTAGAAACAATAATTTAATAAACTGATCAACCAGTATATTTCGTCTGGTTTCATAGAAGCCCGGCTACAACTCTGTCATCCTACTAATCGTTCGATTTGGTCGCTTCTGGTTGACTGATTTCCTATGTTTTCGACTACCGATTTCGTGTGCTGACGCGTCGGCAACCTCCCTTTAAGCAGTCCCATAAGAGTCGATGCAACAATTTATAAATACGTCGGTTTCATAGTCGGTCAATCTTACCGACGTGAACCGATTTAGTCGAGGGGAAAATCGGGAGGATTTTTTATGGGGTCACTAGATGAATGTGAAACGTCATTTCAAATTTAAGGCCGTACATAAATAATGATACAATTTGAAAGGGACCGGGGCTAATCACAAATTACGTCCCCATCTTCTTCTTCTTCTGATGTGGAAATTAGATTTATAAAAATCCAAGGATTTCGGCATTGTTGAAATGATGTTCTCTGCGCTATGATTTTGATTTTCTTGAAACTCCTATACAGTTCATTATTTTTATTCAATAATACACATGTTGCTTTGTTTCCATCATTTTCTGCATTTTCTTCCTTGTCAGTGTTTTCCATTGTTTAAGCTATTTATTATTATTAAGTTTAACGTTTAATCCTAAACACATCGCAACATTGTTTGCTTTCTTCATGTTTCCTTTATTAATTTATTATAGCGATAATTAACGTTTTCTTCCATTTGATGCATCATTTTCTCAGCTTTTCACTTTTCTCGTTCCGATGTGGAGAAGCAATCAAGGGGTTTTATTTTTATTTTATTTTAATGTTTAGTTAAATAAAAAGATAGACTAAATCAAAATGGTTTTCCTCCCTGTTATCCATGCATGCCTGCGCCGTCCTTTGGAGGTGCTGCAGTGTCGCATACCTGTCTCTCTGTATCTGTGTGTGCACATGCGAGGGAAAACTCAATCACAACTGAAATATTTTCATTACTACCATATCTCTTTCGCATTCGGTTCAAACGAAGGTTGCATTTTCATTGCTGCTAAACTTGGTTGTTTGATTTACATAATTTAAGATGGATGGGCTAGAAAACCGATAGCTTCCATTAGTACTAGTATGAGCTAATGTAGTACGCTAGATAGGCGTTATACTCTTCTTTTTGTGTGTAAATCCCTGATGGACCAAACCCTATCTCGAGTAGTTTCACATTAAGTTTAATAAGTTCTTTGTACATAAAATCTACTAACTTCTAAGCGGGTAAATCGAAATTTCGGCATACAGTTTTATCTTCTTTCTTTTGAAAACGGGTTAGAATTTGTCATGTCTAAAACTAGTCCTGATCCACTGTGTTCACATTCGTTAATTGATTCAGTGCTCCAAGTCCTTTAGTTTGCTGTTGTCGCCGTTGGACATCTCCTGAAAATTGATCATATCCGGCGTGCAGCGTACGTTCCGTTGCAGCGCTTCTAGTTTAGTATCAACTCATAATTCATTCCATAAAGCGAGCCCGGTTTGGCGATTTTGAACTGAGAATTACGTCACCAAACGCGCGGGTTCAATCCGGAGCTGCGCACATCCTTCACGGAGATGTTGCCGCCGGCAGGCGCACGCTCGGACGTGTGCGAATCTGTTCTTTGATTTTTGGTAATGTTCTGCTGACTAAACATATAGTGGTATGATTAAAAAAAAACTCCAATTGGGGTTGGATTGGTTGCAATTAATGTTTTCTTATTTGTTGCTTAGTTTCCGTTAAGGTTAAATTATACATTTATAGATTTCAATGTAAATTTGGTTTTCTTCGTAAGAATTTGTGTTTAGCAATGTTTTAATTTAGTTTCTCAGCTGGTTTTCGCATTCTCTCGCTGTTTGTCTCACTTTCTCTCTGAGTCGGTTACCAGTAGTAACCGTCTGCTAGGAGAGTTTATAATTAAATGAGAATAATGAAGCCCTTTGATAGTGCCTCGTCTGTATGGACATACTCCTACATTTTCCGTCTCTGTTTGAATTTCATCGCTAATTGTTTCATGTAATATTACTTACAAGTAAAGTAATGTGTTCTTATTTGTGAAGTGGGGATGGGACTCACGAGGAGAAAGTTATCTGTTTGCTGGTTAAGGTGGGAGACCCGTGTTTACTCGACGTCGTGGAATTTCAATATGGCGCGTCCAGGAATCTCTGAGCTGGCCAGTTTGCGTACCACTTCAGCGGCCTGCTCCGAGGGAAATACTGTGTGCGGTGGGGGTTCAATCTGAATGGCAAGAAGAAATAATCGATTAGTCACATTTGATCCCGATTGATTCGAGTTCACCGAACCAAATTGTCTACTTACCGCACCGGCATCGACCAGTTTGACCAGCTCGTGCAGCTGTTGGATGGTACCGGTCGGAACGACCTCGACAAACACTCCGCGATCCTCTGCTCGTTTGGCGAACCTGGCCATCAGCTTCTCGGCAATCTCGTCGCTGATGAACACGTGTCCACCCTCGGTTAGGCACTGCATCGATCGGTGCAAGCTGCGCGAGGTGGTGCCAAAGTCGATCACAATGTCCACCAGCCCGTCGCAGGCGTCATGTGTGCGTTCGATCAGCTGCTTCTCGTACAGATCCTCGTTCCACTGGACAATGTTGACTCTGCGGAGGATGGAAATAACACGGGGAAACGATGGTTAATGGCGTTCATCGAATTTTACTGAATTGGAATAAGCGCCGGTATTTGTCAACAACGTGTTGAAAACTACATGTGATCTTTTGGGGATTCGGCGGCAGAACGAGAAAGATAGCCAAGAACAATTTTACCATTCCCCAAGAGGCCTATTTCCACGATCAAGGGATACATGATTTATTCACAGATCTTCTGTAGCAAATTGAAAAGCATTCTGATTGACTGAATGTGAGGCAAAAGTTCTGAAAAGTCCGAACGCATGTTCTAGATAAAAGAATATTAAAGACCAGATTTGCCCCATATGGATTGTTTATGCGAAATTGAGTTATTCCAAAGATATCTAATTAAAAAGATATCCCACTAATCAATTATTTGAACAAGGCAATTGATACATCACCCTTACGTAAACGCAGTGACATCTGGTGAGTGCACATTGAAACTGTTGGGAGTCGCCCGCTAGCTTCACCATCAGGGCTCAATAAATGACAGGTGTCAGTATGACAGATACCAGCGCGGACGTTGCACGCGAGGCTCAATCCCAGTCGGCGCCGCCGGGATAAAATCTCTGATCACGACTTCCTTCGAAAGAGAAGTAAAGCCGTTGGTCCCCGATCCATGCTTGAGTTGATGGGTTGATAAGTAGGGTCCAGGTGTGGGAGCTGCCTCCCTCACGTCGGTAGCATTGGTACTCAGTACGGAAAACAAGATCGACGGAAAACAAACCAAGGGAAACAAAATCACCGTATGTGGTGGTATCCGGTCGGTCGTCATCAGCAGCAGCAGCAGCAGCAGCAGTGCTTTCGGTGCGTGGCGTTGAACCATCGACCTTCGGCACAATCTCGTAGGCATTGTATTATTCATTAAATAAAATAGGACCACTGCTGGACAACTGTCATTGAAGTTGTTCACAACATTATGTGCTGTTTGGCTGTATTTTTCAGATCCATCCTTTATTTGAATATATCAGCAGTTCATTTCTCGGTTCACTTATAGATTTGAATCCGAAGTGTAGGTTCTAGCGCAGGCTCGAGAGTAAGAGTAACTGCAGTTAATCAGACCCCACAACTCACACAATACAAACTACAGAAGTCATAGTCATCATCCTCTATATTCGGTCTCCAACAATGTTCTCCACCGATTACAACTTTTCCGGCCGCTGATGGACCGTTGTGTTTCACATCACGAAATTCTGGGTATGTGGTCTGCCTTTGAGGGCATTACAAAACCCTAATTCACAAGAAAATTTGCGAACACCAAACACTTCCGCTTCATTCTCAATAGACTGGCGAACGAATATTACGAATCATTTTTTTCTTCTCAGACGGCGGTTGCATTCCTTCTTGGTTGCCACTAGACCGATGTTATCCTTACGATTGCAAACAAAAACATTCAAGTTGTCAGAAATACCGGGTTGCCAAATATACCATAATATACATATTTTACAAACAATAGCAGATTGCTCTATGACCGGCACAATCGGCACACTTGCGGCACCCTGAGAAAAAAAGTTGACCCAAGATTGCACAGTGGTCGGAGATGCCAATTTGGTGAACTTAATTGTTTTGTGGTCAAACCGTTGACTTAATCCAAAAACTGTCTTCAGAAGAATTGTTCACAAAAACATTGCGCATATTAGGACAACTACCCATATTTGTCATGGCATACTTTAAAAAAAAAACTAACTTGTTTTGCAAAAGAGATAGAAGGGTAGTTTCTCTAGCAAAGTTGTAGTACTTACAAAAATATGAAACTTTGCTGAAGACACCAAATTTGTATGATGAATACTTGTGAAGATATGAAGCGTTGTTGATGGAAACCCCCTTAATTCACATGCGGCGACTATTAGGCCTCCCTTAGCTCAGTCGGTAAAGGCGCAGCTACAAAGCAAGACCATGCTGGAGGTGGCTGGGTTCAATTCCCGGTCCGGTCTAGGAATTTTTCGGGTTGGAAAATTTCTCGACTTCCCTGGGCATAGAAGTATGCACACAATTATACCAATGCAAAAATGGTACATGCATCGAAAGCTCTCAATTAATAACTGTGGAAGTGCATCTAGAACACTAAGTTGAGAGCACGCAATAAGCTAATATGTGATATGCAATAAGCTTGAAAATGCGAAGAAGAAGAAGACTATTAGTTTCTTCAGATCCACTTATTGCTGGTTTTCGTGTAACATCTCAGAAGAAGGGCAGAGAGTTTTCCGAAGATGCACAGTTTGTGTTAAATTTTTCAGACAGCGAAGAGGAAACAGATGAAAAGTGAAACTTTTTTTATTTGTTATCATGTTAACTTCTCAGAAAAAATATTTTTGTTAAATTACAGATAAAACTACCTAACAGCAAGATGATTGGGTTCTTCTTGACTCACGCGATTGGTGTGCAGAGTGACCTTCCCCTTGGCTGCAGCCCACATGAGCGTCCATTCACTGAAGAAGGAGGAAGAAGCCGCACCGCTACTGATCGGATTCAGTAGCTCTTTGTTAGTCGCTGAGGGCCATCTTTGCCAAGTGCGTCACCCTCGTTCCAAACAGTGTACAGCTGGCCAGCCTCATCCGTGTTGAACATCCTAATAGCTCAGCATTACTCAAACATAACGACAAAACGGTTCTTTTCATGACCACCATAAATTATTGTTGTTTAAGAGGTAATTTCCACTGAACGTTCGCTCGCGTTGCTGCCAGCTGTGAGGTTTGGACCGTATCCCACCGGAATCACCCAACCCTTTTGGAGAGCAGGCACAACCTACCTATTCAACTGCACTGCGACGAAAGAGGACGAACGAGATGCTTGCTGATTGAAGCGTCGTTGGGTGGTCAGATTAAAGAGGATGAATAGATTCATCCTGTTCATCCAGTTGACAGCTCGTCGAGGGGTTCATCAATGGATATTGCACTATGACTGAATGGTAATCCATTCAGTCAATTGTGCACCTCACACCAGCCACATCACCCCCAAAGCTCTTTGATAAGCAACCAAACGTTTGTGGTCAAATACGTAACAGTATTGAAGTGCGACATAAAAATTCTCGAAATGACCGAATACCACATGACCATGTCAATTAACCAGAAACACTTCGAACTAAGGTAGGGTTTCCGTCAGGACGCTAGAAAAAAGTATAAAAAATCTCAAATTTATATGATGGATCGCGAATATCTCGCAATTGGAAAATTTTAGCAAGATATTCCTCCAATCAGTTTTCGATTTTTTTTTATTATCTATTGAATAAACCAAAATTTTCGTGAACAAAAATGCGTAATTTTGTCATCAGAAAATGAGGCGTTTCCGTGATGGGAAAAAGTGGTTTCCCTAACACATTCGCCGAATATTAGAGATTATATGATTCGATTATACATCACCGGCGCCGCTGGTTCAGTCTTCTGCCACTATGCGACCCTAGTGTGCATGGAAAATTTCAAAGCGCGTTATATCTCGAGATCCTGACTAGCTGGGAGATGCTGATATTGGAACAGTTTATCAGATGTATTACGAATTATGAGTAGATTAGTGCAAAATTCTGCCACTATGAAGCGCTAGCGTGCATACGAAGTTTCTAAGTCTTTGTATTGTTTGTCCTCACCCAAGTAACAATTTTGGTTTTATGAGGGCTCTGTAGACTTGTAGAATGCTATAAAACCTCTATAAAGCTTGCAATGTTACTTGGGCAGACTTTAAATTGAGATTTATCAAAATTACATGGGTTGGTGGAACTTACGCTGGAAGATATCTCAACGAAATCTTCATGATGAATCATTATGATCTCTGTTCGTAAAAGAATATCAGTCCCATCTGAAAAAAATCAGCAAGCCGAAAAATCAGTGTTCATTTATTATTTCTGTATGGGCTCTTATAGATGGGACCAACCCAAGTAACATTGCAAGTTTTATTGAGGTTTTAAAGCATGCTACAAGTCTAAATCATGGTCTACAGAACCCTTATAAAACCGAAATCGTTACTTGGAAAGTTTCGGTATTTTGTCAGAATTTTTTCTATCAATTCCAATGAATGAGCATAAGTATGAGCACGGTTGCTGCTCTGTTATGGCCAGATCAGCTGCAATTACACAGGGAATCAACAGATGATGCTTGGGACTAATATTCATTCTCAATGTGTAAAACCTGGAAAACTTATATTTAGCAATACCAGCGCCGGCCGTGTCCGAATGCAGATCAAATAGGGAATGGGAAGGAATGTGTTGACGTGATCCTCGCTGTAAAGGAAACCAAGAAGTCCTCTGCGCTTCCACGAGAAATCACTGGGATGTGGGGAAAGGTTTGCAGCAGGGATCGTTTTGGTAAACTAATGCTGATAATGACGTACCTTAAACACTAATGGATAAGAAGTATAAATAGATAAAAAGGAAAGATCTTACCGATGGAATCAAGTGAACCTGCAACAAGCAGCTCCGTAGCCATTATAGTGCGGGGAAAGTTTGAGAACACGATTTCAAATCGGTTACAAACTGCCCTAAACATGACCTTCCATTGGTGTAAGAGAGGGGGCTTAAATGTAAATCCTTCAAAAACTGTCATAGTTCCTTTCACCAAAAGGGAAAAAATAGAGTATAATGAGTCACGCCAAGAGCAAAACAGTTGAACTCGCATCACGGTTTTCGAAATATTTCCTTTCTTTTCACTTGGCAACAGAGGACTTCTACATCAACTTCAAATGACTTCTAGCGAGAACAAAAAATAACGTCTGTAGTTAATCATTATATCAGTGATTATGTCAAATTATTTTATCAAAAAATAATAGAAATTTCCATTACTCATCATTACCAAACGTACCCCATGACAATTTAATGCTCACTGCGTGTTTATGATCATTTCTTCGATTTTATTTTATATTCTATTGCAATACCTTTCGTGGACCTTGCATAGCATCGTTATGTTTGTTTACTTTGCACGATAGGTAGCCGGTTTGACAGTTCAATAGGTAGACTTGGCTTCACTCTTGGCGTGACTCATTATACA